GTGGCGGGGACAGGTTATAGATAGCTCACGCTGTGCAGCCTGAAGCTAGAAAGGGACTTGTAAGCTCAGTCTGAAGTTGGAAACTGGTTTATCTCGATCAAGTCGCATGATCACTGGCTAAATAGGGGTTGGATAAGCTGCATAAGCTTCTGACACGGATAGTTGGATCATTGTTTTGGTCAGCCAGATGTTTGTCAAAGGAAGGGTCGATCTGGGATGACGAAAAGAGAGCTTCCCCGGCTGTGGATCATGTGCCTTGGATTCGCTGGATACCTTTTCCCTGATAATTGCGTACATTCTAGCGGCGCCGCCATCTGCCACCATTACTAACCTTGAATTACATCTCCGTATGCTCCAAACCCAGTCTCGTGTACACGCAAATCCACCTGATTTAGATAAAAACGATGGGTGTGACGACGGACATATTTGAAAATATGCCACACTACCATTTGCATAGATATGAAAGAAAATGCTTCGCTGTCTGTCCGTACAACTGTTTTCTTCGATTTCTACCACCATGTGGAGACTGGCAGCTTCCGCCAGTGTCTACAGACAATAAATGAGGAATTCATTCACTCAGATGCTTTGAATAGACAGCGACGGAAATTGACGGTTCATAGGTAATTAACAGATAGTGTAAGAATCTAACAGAACCTTTTTAGATAAGACAATTCGATGTTTATAAAGTCATTGTGCCTCGATTCTGACTTGATTTGAACGCATCTTCTCCACAATACGACACTATCAGTAGAGTTAACTCTCACCAGTTCAAAAATAATTCTGCACCAATGGATCATACGTGCGAGGACTGTGTTGGTGGTCTAGAATTCTGGGGATGTGGGTGTGAAATTCACCATGTTTATAAAGAATACGACAGTTGCACCGCTTCCCCAAAGCACAAATGCCATGAAGTAACTAAGGTATCCTGCAGTAATCCAGATGGTCCTGGTTGCAATGAACATGATGGCAAGGATGGTTTGACCACTTCGTCGCATGAGATAATTGAAGATCGAGAAATTGCCTGTCCACTTTGTGTTCATCCTCCTGGTATGAGCAAAATGACCACAATTTGTGCAGAAGATCTGGACTAATGACATCTAGACGGGGATGAGAAGATCTCGTCTGATACAAGCAGAGGACTCAGTTTCTTTTCAAACTGGTTTGCTCGGAGGAACAAGAAAGATTAATAATAGTCTGTGACTGTGGGTGCCAATGAGGCTTCTGGGACCATCATGAAAAGCCACCTTTGTGGCAGTTGAATGTTGTAACATCACCAATGGTCCTGAGTCAACTATATTGACATCTACACTTATGAGACCCATTCACTTCTGCCTAGCAACAACCCATGGCTTCACTCAAAAGAGACGTGCTGCCGCCAACCTCGTTGTGGGTTTGTTGTTAGCTTGATCTTTTACCTATTGTATTTGCAATACAAAACGCTTACTGTATACGTTGTTAAACTGTAGTTATTGTAGTGGAATCTATTATGTAGCTACTACTGACACCGAATAATGGTTATCTATACGAAGAATTACTGAAACGGAGTTCGGTGAATTAATACAAATATAGATCAGCACGTCCACCCACACGTATAGAAAAAGGAAGGCACGTGTGGCTATTGTTTGTGGAGTTACTCTACTCTTTGCTCTACCCCAGGGAACAACAGAATAATCTGAGTCTATTGCCTCTTGTCTATAACCGTCAGCGATAATCCACCTCCCGAAAAAGCACCGCAACCCAGAACTATGAACCAGCCTGATTTAAGAGAGTATCGGGAGTACTGTCCTCCTGGAGTCAAGCGTGTGATTGCGTCAGGTGGAAGTGCATGGATAGGAGAAGTTGATGAGACTACAGTCCTGAAATATCCTCTTGCGCCTGGCGATACGGATGTGAGTCGGCTCGACACAGAGAGACGCCTTCTCGAGATTGTCGGACATCATGAGCATGTCATCAAATTGAAAGGATGTACAGACAACGGCTGGCTTTATCTAGAGCGAGCGATCAACGGGAACCTAGATGACTACTATCTCAGACCAGCACATCCACATCCACCGCCACCCCTCGAGCAGAGGCTAACCTGGTGCCGAGAAATAGCCGAGGCAGTTGCATGGGTTCACAGTAGGGGAGTCATTCATTGTGACATACAACCCAGGAATATTCTCCTCGATGGAATGCTACGCGCCAAGCTAGCTGACTTCCAAGGGAAGCATTTGTCAGAAGATATCACCGTGCTTCTTGATGGGTGGAGCGGAGAGCCTTGCAGGTTTTATTGCCCTCGTCGCGACCCATTCGACGCAGATGTGCAGACAGATCTCTTTGCCCTGGGATGCACTATCTATTTCATTATGATGGGGCATGATATGTTTCCTGATATCATTGATGGGGAAGATATGTGGTTTGAAAGGGTCGAGCAAAGACTCGCAACGCAGCAATTCCCAGAAGATACGCATGCTTGCAGCGATATCACTCGCAAATGCTGGCACAAGCAGTACGAGTCTGCCGATGAATTGCTTCTGGATTTGGAGGTTATCCGAGAGGAGTCATTCGGCGCTAACAGTGGTTAGACATGCTAAAGGCTCTGCAGCACAAGGATTATCTCCCAAGGTTAGACAAAATCACAGTGATTTGGAGATAGCACTCTTTAGCTTCATACTGGAATACTCATCTCTCATGTTGAACCCAAGCCAGCATTCATGCCAAGTAGATGGCAACAGCACTTCCCAGGTCTGTCATCAGAGCAATTCATTGACCCACACTAGCTAGCTCTTTTAGGATGCCCTTTAGATGGATTTGACTTGATACCTCAGTCACTTCATTAATGTTGTAGCATAAATCGACCATTGTTACATGTCACGTGACCAATATACCCTGCGATACCCGCAACGAGAAGTCCCAATGAGCCTATTCAAAACCTTCCTTTGGAGACATATGGATGCGACAAATGATTAGCTGCGATGCTCACAAACATAACGACAATTCGTTGAGCAGAAACATGGTTCCAGATATGCTGCTGCTCATCCAGCAGAACATGATGTGATCGGTCGCTTATCAATACTCCGTGAGCTAACTAAGCCTGAATCCTGCAGCTGCTATACGCAAGTTGACTCATCGGAAGTCCGGTTATCTCCCCGGCGATAACAACGACGAGCTTCATCCATCCCCATCCCCGTCCGCCTTTTCAACACCAACACATCGCTCGCTACGTCGGGAAAGCGCGGGTTACACAACCCCTCCTTCCTTTCGCACAATGGTCTCCAAACTAGATTTGGAGTCGTCGCGCGGCTATGCAACCTCCTCAGATGCAAAGCCACAGCCTCGCTCTTCTCTGGCGCGCAACATGGGTCGCGTGCTTCTGACCTTTGTTCTTGCGTGCTTTTTGGTCACTTTGACCAATGCGCGCCGGTGCACTCACCCGCAACCCGCACAGTCGCGAGTGGAAAAAATTCTGTCGGAGACCCCGTTGATAGGTGAGTAGCTTGGTTTGTATGCCTATAATTGCCTTATCTGACGACCACAGACGGCCACGATGATCTACCCATCTTCATCCGCGAGGTTTTCGGAAATCACATCTACAGTGATGATTTCAGAATCCCCTTTACCGAGGGCAACCTGCTGGGGCACGTCGATCTGCCACGCCTCGCTGAGGGCAAAGTAGGCGGCACTTTCTGGAGTGTCTTTGTGGAGTGTCCGAAAAATTGGAGCGATTTCTCCGACGCAACCTATGCAACGAGTAGGATAGTCACGATACCTTCCGTGCGTTTCTTACTAAACTTGTTTATCCAGGTGTCCGCCAGACTATCGAACAGGTAGATGTCATGTTGCGCCTGCAACAGGCCTATCCTTATGTCTTTTCTGAGCCACCCAATGGCACGACTGCTCTTCAAGCCTTCAAGGAGGGAAAGATCATATCCCCGCTTGGGATGGAGGGCCTTCATTCGATCGGAAATTCTCTGGCTCACTTGCGAAACTTCTATGATCGCGGCGTGGCATACGCAACTCTTACTCATAACTGTCACAATCGCTATGCTGATGCAGCGCTTGTTGAGATCCCCGGAGGCATTAAGAAGGCAGACCCAGTCTGGCACGGAGTGAGCGAGGCCGGTAAGGATCTTGTCTTTGAGATGAACAGGCTCGGAATGATAGTCGACTTGTCACACGTTAGTGTGGACACTATGCGGGATGTCTTGGGCGCTGGAAAGGACGATTGGGCTGGTAGCCGCGCTCCTGTGATGTTCAGTCACAGCTCTGCGTACGCAGTCTGCCCCCATCCCCGCAACGTCCCGGATGATGTTCTGAAGTTGGTCAAAACCCGTAACTCGATTGTGATGGTCAACTTCTCCCCAGACTTTATTTCGTGTACTGCGTCCGACGATCCCAACGGCCTGCCTGAGCTTGATCCCGAGCATGCAACTCTGGAGCATGTGGTGGACCACATCATGTACATCGGGAACTTGATTGGATTCGATCATGTTGGATTGGGAAGCGATTTTGACGGTATCCCTACTGTTCCGCGTGGTCTTGAGGATGTGTCTAAATATCCGGACCTGATCGCTGAGCTGTTGAGACGCGGGGTTAGTGACGAGGATGCAGGCAAAGTTGCTGGCGGGAACTTGCTGCGGGCGTGGAGAGACGTGGATCAGGTTGCCCTCCAGATGCAGGCTGAGGGGGCGCTGCCGGTTGAGGATGAGTTGTCCTAACCTGGGATGCACCTGATTCTCCCATGACTCTTGTACCATTGCTGAGTCACTCTCTTTACCTAAGTAGTTTGTATGCAGCGGGTCAAAGGGAAAGTGCATCTACAGTACGTACATAAAGCCTATCGTGAATACGCTGTGACTGATTACTAGATCCCTTCCGAAACTACAAGTGTTGAAGGTATTAGTGACTAATGCTTCTGAATCATGATCAATAAATTCAACTAATAGCCTGAGCATTATGATAAACTCCTCTTCCAGAACGACCAATGTCACATCATTGAACAATGTGTAATCAAAGCCACTTCAATAGTTAATCAACCACGGGCATCTCTTCGTATGCCACTGGTGGCACAAAGCGCACTTGAAAGCGCCACGAGGGGCTACCCCTGTATTCAGTATATACCATAATCTCTTCAAGGCAGAGAGCCTACCGTGCAAGTAATCGAACTCATCGGGTCTGACGGCCACAGGAGAATTAGAAGTTTGTTGTCGGAAGCCTGAGCCCGAGCCAGGTGTAGAGGAAGACTGCTAGATTAGGTCTGTTATTTAGTAGTACTTGAGTACGACTTATAGGTCTCACGTACAGGCTCTCCCTTGTGGATGTCATGCACTGATGTCTCTTTGTTCGTCTTTCGACTGTCTTTCTTGGCCTGAGGAATAACCTCTGGTAGTTCGGAGCTGGGACGTATGCTAGTCAATGATAAAGCGACTAAGAAGGTCCAAGAACAAACTAAGTGACTGTCCACATACGGTTCCACTCCTGGTGCCATTTTTGAACTTTGCAATAGTGAAGAGCTAGCTCCTGATGGATACCAGAGGGGCTTATGGGGTATAACCTGCTACTACTTGTCAGTATTGAATCATACTCTTGGCGCTTGCCCATTCACGTCACCAGCCGGAAGCTATATCATCCCGAAGAAAGTAAGAAGCATCACATGAACGGCCTGCCAGCAGTGTGGCCCTAGATTGTCACTTGCTGATGCTTTCATCTCTAATATAGTCTCAGTAATGATATATTTCTTATTCTGATCCTGATGAATGGGTACCTAAGTTGTAATACCACTATCAAAATTCTGAGACGTAGAGTCAGATTATTGCCTCACTGGGTCTTTAGATAAGCCCTCCAAAGGAGAGAGATTAGTAAAGTAAATCCTGCAGACATGGCCACGTAGACGGAACAGGATCTGGTGAAGGGTCTGGCCACAGTGAATGTATAATAATTACTGGCTGCGGAAGCAAGCTATCAATACCCCTCAAGGTCCCCCAGTATTCCTAACCACGGATAACAAACTGCATAATGTGCCCAGCAAAGCAAAAGACCGAAAGAACCAAAGAGTAAAAGAAATGCATCAGCCCTGCTTCTTTCCGCTGATTTTCTGTTTGATGGTTCGATATCTAGCAATTGATTTTTTCAGAATCAATGCAGCAAGCTCTCCTGAGCCTTCCATACGTTCCCCAGCACGCTTTTGAATATTGATATATTGCTGGCGGCTTTCATCGTGCTCACCCAGACAGATGACGATTCCGGCGTACTTTAAAAGTATTGCGTTCATGATCAATCGACACATTCTTCCATTACCATCTGCAAAAGGATGAATCATCACAAAGTCGTTGCAGTACTTGGCAGCCAAGGTGAATGGATCAAGGACGTGGGTAGATTCAATCTTATGAATATCTCTCTCGAATTCGGCAACCAGCTCTCTCATCTTTGCTGGCACATATTTGGGCGCAACGAAATTCGTATTTCCGGCATGAACATGTGCCTTTCTATACCTGCCGGAGTATTCTGTCCAAGGGATGCCCCCAGCCGTATCAATGAACTCCGTCAGAATCCGGTGGGTACGAAGGATCAGGTCCTCAGAAAGTGGTTTGTCGTTAACGATCATTTCAGTTATTAAAAAGTTCAGTGCCAACGCATGTTGAACTACCTCTCGCCGGCTTCGGATGATATGGGATGCTGGGTTCTCAGAGCGGATTGCCTCGATCAGTTTCTTCTCGTAATCTGACTCTCTGAAGAAGTGCATATCTTGGTTAGCTATTATCACGTATCTACCTGCGGATATTCTTACGTTTCAGGTATTTGTTCTGGATCCACGAACTCTCCCCGGAAGATCCGTTCACAGATCTTGATAGTCTCTTCCAGGTTAAGGCCAGCACGTTCTATGTAGTTGCTGCCGAAGATCACAGTACCCAAATATCGTGTCAGAGTATCACTGATGAGTGCAGTACCATCACTGCTCTTTTCTTCTAGCTTCTCTTGGATGACTCTATAGAAATCTGTGGCTTTCTTGAACAGATCCTTCGGGGAATCATCGTCGAGGGGAATGTACGCCCGGGCAGATGAGTCCATGGATATAGTATAGAATAGGCGGCTTTCGTTTACACGTGAGGCCTTTAATATGGAAGGAGGCCAGCCACGAGTCTTGAATGTGTTGCTGATGGTGCTCCGCATACTGGTGGATGTTTTGGTCGCAGAGGGAGAGATAGACAGGTTGTCAAAGAGTCCAGCATGTGGCTTTCTTCGAGGAGAAACCGATTTTTCACGGCCTTTGCCGCTGTATAGAGGTATGTTCTTCATGAGTGCTCTTTGATTATTATCTGGTAGACTGACGGAGTAGTAGTGAGATGAAGTAGTGGGAAGGAAGGATGCTAGTGTTCGAGCCACAAACTTGGAGGTGATTTTGGGTCATGATCATGTCACTGTGATGCTTACATACCCATGATAGTGAATTTACTATCTTAGGAAAGAGCAACATGATTTGATTAACACATAAGAGCGGCTTGAAATGAGGTCATTTACCCGCATATAGTGTTGTATTGCCGACCACCAGATATCTCTCAGGCAGCAAATGACTGGTGAATCTACAGAGAATCCCAATACGTCGCTGCTGGAAATTAATGGAGCAGGGAGATCCTATGGCAATATAGTACTGCCATACTCCACTATACTAATGGATGCATTACAACGCAATGTTTTCCTGGCCGGTGCTGGGTATGCTTGGATTGTGGCTACTCTCGCAAGTGCCGTAGATCTTATATCAAAGACCACATAATCCCGGGATTTCACCTATATTGAACTGCAAAAATGCTATTTGGGTAATGATTGTACCCAAGCTAGTTATTTTCTTGAAGTATCGGGGATACTAACAGCATGTTGTGTTCTCTGAGGACACCGAAAACGTTCATATATGGGATGTAGATCTAAGCGAAGTCAAGCACAATGTGTTGGACAGATAATCCAGACCTACTTCTCTAGATAGTGTACTATTCGACTGCTCGTGTTTGTATTATATAATGATCTTTGCCATATTCTCGTTCATAGTATTGGTCACTCTTCTGAACCTCTATACCATGCGATATGCACATGTATCGGCTTCACATCCATCGTCTGGAGGAGACCGGAAATCTTTACCCACCCAACAAATCATTGATTACCTACAAGCGCTACATAAGTAAACTCCATTACTTAACAAGCACATACGACCATAGGGTGTGGAAAACAGGGCTTCCCGTCCGCTCAGCCGTACTTAAGCCACACGCCGGGAGGTTAGTAGTTGGGTGGGTGACCACCAGCGAATCCCTTCTGTTGTATGTTTTTTATTTTTTTATTTCTAAACTATCATCATATCCACTAGACAGTTTACAGACCAGAAGTTCCTTGTATTGTAGTAGACGCAAAAGCCGATTAGATTGCCGAGAGAATTATACGCAATGATCCCGAAGACGGAGTTGGTCGGGTGGGTACATTGGATAGTTTGTATTGTCGATCATGTAATATGAAGACATGTAAATCACTTATTAAGGTCAGTTTTGCCATTCTAGACATGAGATCACGATAGTTCTGAAGGGGAGATGCATACTCAGGATATTGAGACAATCACTGCAGCAAGGCAGGGTCGGCTGATCCGTCAACCATTCTTCCTGCGTGGACTTTCACCACTTTTTCCAACCATCCAAACCACCTCTTGAGATCTAGATAGATCAAATCCATTTGCCCCTGCCTTGACAGTATTTATTTCCTTCAAAGTACACAGTTTCGCATATTTAGTTGCGCCAAGTGACCATAACAAGGAAGCACACACCGCGTCATAAAAGCTCCGGATACTATCGAGGACTGATGGACTTATGTGCTGCTTGCGAACCATTCAAGCAGATGCTAGTTCAGAGAGGCACCCTTGAATTGGAGATGGTATGCAACTATTGCGTGGGCAGGTGGAATGTGACGCTGTAGGCCCGGTCTTTGTGGGGAGATATGTGTCAATCATCCGTCTCCGTGCCAGTGGAATCAGAAAAGCGAGCCACCCAGTCTCTGCCTGGATCTGAAGCACGATCTTCGTGATGGGACTCGGCCCTCTTCTTCCATTCTGGTGGTGTTTCCTCGTCTGTCTCGTCCTGCAATCGGCTCACTGCCGCCATAGCAGAGCTCATGACTCAGCGTTACTTGTCAATGGCAACTTATACAATATAGAAAGCGAAACCAGTCTAGACAGTTTCGCTCGACTTTCGGCGGTATGTCTCCCGCACTGGACAGCCCTCATAGGCATGCACCTCCCACGCGCCGATTCCACTCTCCAAAGGTCGCTTATTCTTCCCCTTTCCGTCTCTGAGTAGATTTTCCGGCCTGTACTCTTTATTGGCCTTCATGCGGCGAATGACTGAGCCATGAACTTTAGCTCCCTTTGGAAGGTCACGTTTCTCCCCAAGAGGGAGAGGCCACCGAACGGGTTTCCAAGATCCATCAGATTGCAATGCCAATCTCCGAAATGGAAGATACTCGACAACTTTCCACGTTAAAGCGGTGGGCCACGAGACACCTTGGCCATACTGTAGAAAGTCATGTACATGTCCGGTGGTAGTTGCCCTTCGGAGTGCGGATTTGAAGTCGAATTCATTACCTTTCTCACCTGCGTAATCTCCATTTATTTGGACCCCAGTGCTTGACTCCGGATGACCCGGAAGATTTCTATAGCCAGCTGGGTCATCGAGGCAATGAAAGAGCTTCATCTTTTCGCGATCGAATTGAAGCCCCGCACGCTGCGCCTCCTGTACCATCCATACTAATGGCACATGGCTCAGTGCTATGACTTCATCGTCATCCATTTTTAATCCGCCGCCAATATCCGAATGGCATCCGGCGAACCACACCTCCTCGATGTCCTGACCCTGACACGTGTTCTGGCTTTCGTCACGGAGACAATCCTTAGCTTCGGTGAGCGCATTAGCGGGGGCTGGTCGATAGAACGCCTCGCCTGTGCAACGCCCCTGTTGCTCTGGCTGGTCCTGGTTCTTGCGCCGGGTCGACGGCCTGTTAGGATTGCAATCTGATATCAGATCCTGTCGAAACTTGGCACGATGCTCATCGATAGAAACGGCATGCCGAATCACCCTAGCCGAGGTTTTCGCCGTAAACGGAAACAGGAATTTATTGCGATTCACCTCAAACCGTGGAATGCTGTTGACGGTGTCAAATAATCCGAGAAAGCGAATCTGCGATACCGGACGACAGAAGGTCTCTCGTTAAGGCTTTCATGTACTTATATAACTCATCTTTTTCGGTCTGGCCAGAGTCGACGCTGTTGGTACATTTCGCCCACTTCGAAAAGGTCATCCAAACGTAGCGTACTTTCCCTTCATTCCCTGGCTCTAGCAGGCCAACGTGGTCTATCATTTCCGCAAGCATGCGAGCAACATACGCTCCACGGCTAAAACCAAATATGTATATGGCATCTCCGGGGCTGTAAAAGCGCATGAGAAATCTATAACCGTCAATGACATGTTCGTCAAATGTTGTGCCTGCCGCGGAGTCCTTCATGTTCGTAAACCATCTCTTCAGGCGATTAGTGCTGGCTTTACTGGCTTGCCAGATCGAGGTGGTGTGCGTCCCAAACCCCGGCTGATAATAATGAAATTGACGAGGGTCATGGCGATTTAGCATCTTCGATTAATGTTAGTGTAGCCTGACGAAATTGGCTCATGTTTTGACTACTGACTCTGTAGATCTTGAGGACATTACTGTCTGATTCGTCTCCGCGGAATTTATATCCAGTTCCATCGAAACAGAGAACAAACTCTCTGTTGTCCGCGGCAGTCCGCTCCATGCTAGCTAGGTGTTGCTTCTAAATTCTGAACAGTTGTACCGCTTCATCGAATGCTCAGTGGCACTTCCTTCTTTTAAAAAGCTTAACAAGGGATGTTGTCAATGTAGAGTAGACCCACGGGTTGTGGCGAAACTTACCCGTCGTTAGTCCTAATGTCCAGAGCTTCGCATTTATCAACTCTGCCTTATGCATGTGCCGTAGCCCGGGAATATCATGGACCCTATAACACAATATAGTAAAATACCTGAATATTCGATTGCCTTTGCCAAAATCCTCGAAGATAGGGACATATTGGCCAGTTCCAGTCTCGGAAGTTACGGTGCGGAGTACGAGAGCCAAAGATTGGTTGATGATGTCTAGATGACCCCAACACTCGTTCCAAGCAAACTCAAAAGTGCATGCTTCTGGCACGTATGTTCTAGAACAAAGTTTCGCAAGCCCAGAGTGAAGGAAAAAAAAGCCAACTCATAGGATTTTGAGTTTCCCCCCGACAACCGAAAAGGCTAATTGTCGATCTCGTAAAAATTAATAATGGTCATATTTCTCATCATTGGCCATCTGCTACTTTTCGCTCCATTAAGCTCCTGTGGGGCTATGCTTTCTCCTCAAACCTCTGAGGTCATTGTGCACCTTTGCTACTCAGAGCAACATTATAAGTAGTAAGATAAATAGATAAAATAGAAATTGAGAACATTGACAGTTTCTGTCGCCACCCCTAAGTTATACGTTACGAGTTGTCATCATCAAGGCACCATGTCGCCTCTGAACGAAGCCGCCTGGATCTTGAAGCCCAAAAGTGATCTCAAGCGATTCACTGCGGCCTACAATGTTCCATCCTTTGATGAGATTGTGATCGAGGTACGTCAACACTTTGCCTGAAAACATACTGGAGAAGTCGTATAACTGAAAGGTATGATAGAACCATGCTGTTGCCATACAACCTCTCGATGCCAATATCCGGGCCCAAGCATACGTCGATGTGCCATACCCATTTATCTTAGGCAATGGAGTTGCCGGTATTGTCCATGAAGTCGGATCATCAGTTACTAAATTCAAAAAGGGCGACCGTGTCGTGTCCGATACACCTACTTACCAGCTCAAAGAAACGAAGTACGGGGGCTGGCAGAAATACGTGGTGACTAGAGAAGCCACGACCGCGAAGATACCAGCAAGCACGACTTTTGAGGATGCCGCTGCAATACCTTTCGCACTTTTAACAGCTGTTTCTGCGTTGCACTTGCACCTGGGTATGGGGAAGCCAGGAACGAATAGCAAGGGGAAAGCACTTATATGGAGTGGTAGTGGATCTGTGGGGGGCTACGCTGTTCAATATGCCGCCAGTGTGAGCACAAAATAGCTCGATAGTATTAATCAGTGGTAGGCTAACATGGCTTTCTAGGTCGGTTGCGAAGTCATAGCAACCGCATCCCCGCGGAAGTTCGATTATGTTCGTGGCCTTGGAGCCTCCACTGTTCTCGACTACAAGGACGATGAGATCGTATCAAAGCTAAAGAGTCTCGGGCCCTTTGATTATATCTTCACGGCTTCGGGTGACGCGAAAAGTGCAAATGCTATAAGCGACATCCTGCAACCAAATGGTGGGAGATTTGCATCTGTCCGCCCCCAGAGTAAAGAAATAAACCTGGCCCAGAATGTCGATTTGATTTACGACTTTTTCAGCATGACGACCCAGAAGGAGAAATATGGTGATTTTACGGAATGGTGGTATCGCGAGTACCTTCCGGGAGCACTGGGCGGAAATGTGAACCCCACACCCTTGGAGAAGCGAACTGGTGGGTTGAACAGCATTCAAGAGGCTTGTACCGATGTTTTGGAAGGGCGCAGCCCGAAAAAGCTGGTTCTAAACCCCCAGGATCCTGATAAATGAGCTGTAATAGCTATACGAAGCGAGTGTGATGCCGAGCGACGTTCGAGATCATGTAGTATATTTCTTAACTTATAAATTGCTTTGTTTGTCTCACTTGGTGTGCTCGCTTATTTGTGTTGTCCTATGTTTCACCCTACACTTCTTCCTTTATCCCTCCTGTTAGGTATTCTTGTCTAGTAGCGCGAAAACACCAATGCCCTCACCTCGACGCTAACCCTAGAACACGTGCTTTCCGCTATGTTTAGAGGATTGAATGAAGTATGAGGAGTATCTGCAGCAAGTTGAATTAGCCAATGTACACCCGACGCCTTTCCACACCCGCGGCTTGAAAGGGATATGGACTCTTGGAAGACAGCCAAGCAGGGTGGTTAACCACTCACATTTCACACTATCTTCCTTCGTGTCGAACCCTTTAAACAGAAGCACATCTTCCACATCCTGGCTACTCATATAATACCATTTACGCGCATCGTTTGTCTCATATTGTGGATAGAGCATAGTGCCGGTATAGTTACCGCGTATCATATCCGACTCAATCAACTTGGATGCATCCAAGGTTCGTCCATCACATACTGCAATGGGGTGATCTTCGATCGGCCCGCTTATTGGTCGCCAGAGTCTAGATATTTGTCAGGTACATTTGCAATCAATAGTCTAACCGTCTGGGTGGATCTTGCAAGAAAAGGGGATAATGTAGGAACCCACATAATCAGTTGGACTCGCCCAGAAAGAAGGTGTTGAGATCCTTCCGGAAGATGATTGCGTATACGCTCCATTAAAGGAGTTCCAATCTCATCTCGAGTTAGAAGTGTGTCTTGTCATGTCAGCACATACATTCTTCTGACGCTCACCGCTGATGTACTGTAGCTTACCTATGTGAACCTGCCGCGCAAACCCCTGCAAATTCGGGTTTCTTGTCCTCTTCTCTTTTGCGCTCTTTTTCTTCCTGATCTGTCGAAAGTAGGATTTTAGCGGTTGGTACATAAGATGATTGTGTTGTAGCGTACTTTCCAGTCAAAAATCATAACTTCATCGGCCCCGCTAACATGTTCCTTCAGAATGGCTTCGCATTCTGGCAAGAAGATATCGTTGACCTTCTGAGGATTTGAGTACTCATAAGACTTTGTTAGAGCAGGTGCGAGGCATCTCTTGTAGACGAAACCGTTGGTATCAAGATCGAACGGAGGAGCTTCACCCAGTCCCCTAATATCTCGAATAGTCTCAGGATGATCGGCCACATGAAAGACTAAATTGGTCGTCTTGTCGCGATCGATGTTGCGCTTTCTTCGTCCAGCAAATACACCAATTCGATAAGGGCGTGTATGGTTGTAGCTGGGTTGCCATTGGAGGTATGCCAGTCTAGCTTGAACATCCCTAGCCATTATAGTATAGACCGAATCCAGTCAGGTACCAGAAAAAAAAAACAAAAAGGAATAATATAGTTATGCCTGACATTAGTACCAACTTCACTGATACAAAATACTTATTTCATTCCTACTTAAGTAACCTTTTTGGTTAGACCCCTGCATACAGCCTCGAAGTACTGTGGAGCAATTCCAACAGACGAGCTAGCCTAATTTGCACCCCGATAATTATGAACTAACGAGCGCAATGACTCAACAAGGTGCCAAGAATCTCTCATAGCCTTAAACGAGTCATCTCACCCAACTTCAGGAACTGCGCTAGACCCCCAAGGCTGAGGTAGTTGCCCAATGGCGGGAGGCTGTACCTAATTGTATGTTAGAGAGTGGGTCTCTTGCTTGGGAACAGGTAAAATCATATCCCATTTTGTCACATTTAACCCTCCTCCGCTCGTTCCGCCAACCCCATACAGATGACTGGTTTATCCAGTCACTATGGCCAGCCCTGCCAACTTTATATATTGCTTTGCAGAGGGCCAGTCGGTACTGGGTATGTGCGATATTGAAATCCCGCGCATACAACAGGACATGCAAGCAGCATTGACTCATATACTTGGTCATTCATTCATGCGTGAATTCGCACCAACCGACAGGATCTCCTAGCTATGGTCGCTTTTTGATTCCAGATCATCTCTGATATTGTACCAAGATCAGTTATGGTATCGCGATTCGAGATCATACAGCCGTCAGTTCCTGGGCCTGGCCCCTTAAGATCATCTGACACCTCCTCGTAAGTCCACAATAATATTGTTCTACACCGATTTCTGGATTTTACTTGGAAACTCTACATCAAGGGTGCTTCTTACCACCTCCAGACTACGTTTCGGCTTGACAAAAAGTATTGCGGAGAAAATATAATGAGTGTATATTGCGAGGAACACACTGACGATGCTGAAAATTGAGAGGAAAAATCTATTCGCCTTCGTTTGCAGCGTCGCTACAACTTCCCCTGAGAAGGACTAAACCCTTCACTAAACGGATAATCAACATACCCCTTCGGCGACATGGGCGTGTAAAACGTCGGCCGATCATACTTATTAAGCGCTAATCCCTCTTTCAATCTGAACGGCAAGTCCGGGTTCGCCAGGAAATGTCGCCCAAAGGCAATGGCGACACGATACCCGGGATGCGCCCGGAGGGCCTCAGTAGCCGTCTGGGCCGTAAACCCGCCCGCGAGAATAATAGCCCCCGTATCCCCAAACGCCTCATAGAGGAACGACTCGTCCTCCTCTTCAGACTCATGCTCCACCGTCGTTGACCCCGAAATCCGTGGCCTCACCACATGCAAATAAGCCAAGTTCAACTCCGCCAAGCCACGCACAAGGTGCGTAAACTGCGGTCGGGGATCAGACATCCGCATGCTCTGGAAGGTACTCCAAGGACTAATGCGATAGCCCGTCCTGTGTGGCCCAATGGCATCCGCCACGGCTTTTGCAATAGCGAGACCGAACCTGGAGCGGTTCTCGACACTACCGCCCCATTGATCGGTGCGGTTATTGCTCACTGATTGAGTGAACTGGTCGGGGAGGTAGCCGTTCGCACCGTGAATCTCGACGCCGTCGAACCCAGCGGCGATGGCGTTCTGCGCTGCGCGCACGTAGTCGGCGATGTAGTCGGATATTTCTTCCTCAGTCAATGGGGTTGGTGTGGGACTGGATTCGCTCATGGGGATGTCTCCACTTGAGACTACGTGGTATCCGCCTTCTTTCTGGAGGACGTCTGGCTTGGCGGCCCTACCTAGCGCCCAGAGCTGGCAGAAGATGAAACTGCCCTGGCTGTGGACGGCCGAAGTGATGGTCTTCCATTGAGCGATTTGAGCATCGCTCCAGATTCCAGGGACATGGCCCATGCCGCCAGCGCGGGCGGAGATGAATGTGCCCTCGGAGATGATTAGTGTGCCGGGGACGGAGGCACGCTGTGCATAGTAGTCGCGGGATATGGGGAGCGGGACATGCTGGGCATCGGCGCGATTGCGGGTTAGCGGTGCCATTACTACTCGGTGGTGTAACTCGAGGTCACCGATGCGGATGGGTGAGGTTAATTCGGCCATGATGTGCGGTGCAATTCAAGGGATTCGAGGGTTATGTGCGGAAATTACGGTAGTTGAGGTTTGGGTGAGTTGGGGGGGTTTAAATACTATATCAAAGTTCGGGAACTTTTAGGTTGATCATCATGAATACCTATATTTTAATGATGGGTCGGAGACTTTTGTATGTTTAACATTAGCCCGAAGAATCTCCATTATTAATTGCTGCTTGGCCATGAAGTCATTGCGGTGCGGGTATCCGCCGGCAGCCGAGGCTTGTTTCGCTTTCTTTGGCTTGTTTGCTTTTTCCGAACTCTCGGAAGCGGGTCCTATCAAGAGTGGCTCATGCATTATGATGGTTTAGTCGATAGTAGTTTGCGGGTTTAATATATGCAAAAAAATTCAGTTCTTGCTTGCATCTTGCATACGCTAATAATCCTCATAGATATGGCAGGGTTGTTGGCTTGTTCTTTGGCAACTTCCTTGTTTAGACTCTCAGTGGAGCCACCTAGATTATACCGATACACCGGCCTGTACCATGCCCTGAACCTTGCATGATAAGATCGCTCAATTACAGTGGACATGGATTTAAAGGAGGTATAGACTTCTCATGGATACTACGCCATCGCTTAGGAATTGCAAGGTCACTTGAGACTCAAAAGACTTTTTCTTGTGATCCAATTCTTTCTTATCCTGATACTGTCCTCCAGGGTTTCCATAGAAGATGCTTTAGTGTGCACTTGGTATAACGGTTTCACAGCACTAGCCATGTGATGTCAGACTACAGTAGTACCAAGATAGGGTTAACGAACAATGAAACGGTTTCCAAACTGAAATACATGACTCCAAACTCTCAACTCAAATCACAAGAAACTCTTCTATAGATTGTTGTGTGAAAGCTTCACGCAATGAACGGTGGTATACCTTGCCCGCGATGGCCTGGCCAACTACTTTATAGTACGTTTTCTCGCCCTTGTTAACCACGGTGTCACTGATGCGAAGTATGAGCGGGCGATTCAGGAGATACGGGATAGTGAAAATGTCGTCATCTTCCACTGTCTCTCGACTGATTCCAAAGAGGGAGAGATGGGAATTATGCGCTAAAAAAAGCCAGTGGCCTCCAAGTATTTGGAGATGTTCGAAAATAGCCGTCGGAACACCCTCTCTCTCCCACATTTCCCCCTCGGTAACTGGTAAATCTAGCTCCGCTATCTTCGATAGCATATCACGTATCTTAACGTCTAAAATATTTTCCAAGCCAAGGTGATAAGAGGACCATGTGTCGAGAAGATGTTGTTGCAAGCTTTTGATACAATCGATATTTTTCCACCGCTCCTCTATCATCTCAAAAACCTTAATGAGTTGACTTGCAATCATGCGTGTATCCGTTGAAAATTGCAACAAAGCCTGGCATTTAGCGAATCGCCTAGCAGGGAGGTGTAGAATTGATTTATTGTCAGACACCTTAGTTATCATATGCTCTAATCCATTGTTGGGTGGCTTGGCTTTTTGAAAGTGTTCAGGTAATCCCATGGAATTCAATAGACGAAGGTTCCGGTAAGACGTTATGAAATGTGCGGAGCCTGGGCGATAATCCAGCACCCAGGAAGGTAGCCGAGTGCTCCATGTATCGGGTGCAGCACAAGGAGCTAGCATGAGAAACATGGACTCCTCTTGACCGATCATCCAAATCGTTGTTTCCAGCGCAATCTGCTCAAATTTTTTGTTATAATCTGGAGGAAAAGCCTCCTGGAGGTCCGGCATGACACCATAGAGGGCATAGATTCTGTCCTTGGGATTCTGGCATTTCCGATGACTTGTTCGCTCGAAATGGTTCCCTGGAACATACCAATAATCAAACATCTGATTACCTCTGAGGAAGCATACTTCGTCGTGATTGCAGACCTCGTGAAACTCATCGCAGGTCGTATCCCATAGCCGTTTCAGAGACGCTACATCCTCAGATGGTAAGTTGCCAATCCGCCCGAATCCGTGGCTGGCGGCCCATATTTTCAAGTATGCGTCGTGCCCCTCTAGCACTGTCGAGATGTTGAATTTCAAATTCCCACAGACAACAAGTGGCTGGCGCTTTGGCAGCAAATATTCTTGGTACGTCCACATTCGAAACCAGTAAGGCATAGTCATGATCTGGATCATGCCTCGTAAGGTACCGCAGTTCATATAAACCCTGTTGACTTTAGCCTTATCAGAAAAGACTCTCGCTATATCGAGCCACCACCAGTGTAAGGCCCCTTTGGTCAATCTCTTCTCCCTATATCTCTCTGCCCATGCCACCGCCAGCTCGATCTCTGGGGTGGCATCTCCCAGCATGGCGACTACGCGAGCCGCTGAGGTGTAAATCGTGGCCATCAAGGGCAATTGGGTATTCATTTCGCCAACGTCGCACTGGTTGATGCAAATAGCATCGAGCCATACAACCCGACGCCTGAATGTACGCCGTAGTTGGTACAGAGCCTTTGCCACGTTGGGTTTTACGTAGAACGCATTGCCATCGAGGAATATATGCTCGGTGGAATCTTCCGTCCCCCAAACATATGAAATGGCTTCGAACTCTGGGGAATCATCAAGAGACACGGTGTGGAGGGAGCAATGGATCGGACCCCTTCCGATTATTGGGGGGTGAATGGAGAGCAGTCGGATTTGTCGTTGGTTTGGATCCAGTTTGTGGTATTGGAAGCTCATTTGTAAGAACTCCAGTAGTAGAAGTGGGAAAAGTCTTTTGCTCTTGAGAGTGCTTATGGTCACGGCGGCAGAGATGTGAGAAAGTCAAGACTGAGGTCGGCGGTTATTATTAGGACGATTGTGCACTGTGGCCTGAAGAAGAAGCAAATATGAAGCTAGCAGTACTACAACTCTAATTTTAACAGCTTCAAACTGTACTAGTGCTTAGCTCGTTGGGGGAGCAGCCCCTCATGTGTGCTGACGTGGCATGAATCCGGCATTGTTTTATCTACCTTGACAGTCTTTGTCGGAAGCAACTTGTGATAGTCTTATGGTATTTCTCCGGCCCAAAAGATATCATTTTGATCACAGAATTAGTTATTAGTTATAACATTGCTATCAGCCTTGAGTATTACCTTACCCTCATGTCCATCCTCAGTTTCCGAAGCAACACCCACATAGCATCATGAACAGAAGATTTCCACGCCATTTGCCTAATTACGAGCATCCTCCTTCAACTCCAACTGCTGCTCAATAACATCCCCAATAACTTGTTCCTCTGATCTCCACTTCATACCCAGTATGCGATCAGCAGCAGTGGTATCCAGCGCCCAATGCCCCTCGAAAGGCGGTTCTAGCTTACACTCCACTTCTGGATACTTTTCTTTGATAAAATTCGCCGCATGCTCCCAGGATACAGACGGTCTGGATAGAATGAACTCTGTTCCACTCTGGACATCTTTCTCCAGCACTTTGATGTGTGCTTCTGCGACATCTTGAACATGCACCCAAGCATTGGCGATTTGAGTTTGGCCTGAGGTAATTGACAACCAGAAGAGCGCGTTCATGCCACTAAGCTCGCCCGGGATCTTCTGAATCATACTAGGTCCCAGGACGAATGTTGGGTGGAGTGTAATCAGGTTATAATGAGGACTGTTGTTCTCCAAGAATGAACGTGTCGCTTGGTGCGCAAGGATCTTCGAAGCAGCGTATTTGAGTGCGTGGCCGTGAGGACCTTCCGGGAAAGACATGTTTATGTCGACGGGGATAATTTCTCCGGTGTTGTCTGCTATGCGTTAGTTATCATTCAAGTAAGGTATCTCTTATGATACTCACCCTTTATCGAGATATCCTTGGTAAGCAACGCAGTCACGGGAGCCAGCGCAAGCACAGAAGACATTACAATGACTTTCTTAATCTGAGGAAACTCCAAAGCAGCATACAAAATCGCTTCGGTGCCTCTGACAGCGGGCTCAACGTAGTCCTGCTTGAAGTCGTTTCCTCCGCCGGGGATTGGAGATGCAAGGTGGAAAACATAATCTACACCTTGAAAAGCATCTTTGAACGATTCCCGCTGAGAGATGTCAGGTATGACACATGTTTCGATTTTGTCGCCATATCCAGGATGGAGTTCCCTCAGGGTAGCTTCCTGCTCTGCTCTGCGGATACTCAGACGCACGCGGTATCCGGCTTTGAGTGTAGTAGCGACGACCTGCGAACCGATGAAGCCGGTTGCACCGGTCACGAAGATAAGAGGTGTAGTCATTTTGAAGGTTGCAGTAGATCGTGAATCTCTGAGTTAACGGCCATCTTCTACTATCGGAGTCCAGCTCCTAAGATATACCTCGCAAGTGGTAACAGTAAACAAAGAGCATTCCAGCACCTGCTTTGTAACTCCATGAGCAGCAATGACGACAAACGTGTAAACATCTGAAATGGCTGCAACCGGATGGTTCACTAATCTTATAAATCTTGAGGCGTTCGTATAGCCCGAGTCACGGGTGCCTTTTGCGGAAGTAAGCTTCGGCATGGCGCAGCACTCCGAAGAGCGGGTGACAAATCCACCAGAGTTGTACCAGGGACCCTTACCTTCTGCTATATCGCTGTCACCTATAATCCATCTAGATCGTTCCATGCAACTTTATCTATTTTCCCAGGGATGTCAAAATCCTAATTTTGACCGGTATCTTTACCTTTGTATCGGCCCGATCACTAATCATATTCGGATCAGTAATCATGGTGCAACATTGTACGAGTCTGATGATAACCCACAACGCTCAGCTTTGGCATCAATAAGCTAGACATATCTATATCTTAAGCACCAGCATGCTACGTAGAATTCACATAGACCTCACTATCCCACCCGCTCCAATACCCAAACCCACTCCCACCAAATCATATACATCAAAATGCCCCTCTGGCAAATCTACCACCCACCAACCACCTTCACCACCCCACCCAGCAAGCACTCCTTCGCACAAGACATCACCAAATTCTACACCGAACTCGGCCTCCCCGCCTTCTACGTCGTCGTCAACTTCATCCAGACACAACCCGACGATGTCTACGTCGGAGGCACACCCAAACACCCCACCGACGATAAACCCTTCGTCCGGATAGTCATCACGCATATTGCGCTGCATGTGCCGGACTCTGATGCTGCGTATGCACGCACAACTAGTCGTTTGGATAGCGTTTTGAAACCTCATCTTTTGGATAAAGGGTACGATTTCGAGTATCATGTTGATGAGACGGATAGACGCCTGTGGAAGATCAATGCGTTGGTGCCGCCGCCGTTTGGGAGTGAGGGGGAGAGGATGTGGGTGAAGGAGAATAGGGCGGTTGAGTATGAGAGGAGTTCCTCTTCTATCTGATTGATTTTTTTGTATTTTTCTTTCGGTTCAAAGGAGGGGAAATGTGGTTGGGTTTGGGTTGAGGTCATCGGATGGTAGGGTTGACTGGGGAGAATGGAAGCTATGTAGGTGCAATATGGCACAAAATGAATGGAGCATAACACTGAATGTTACATTTTTTCCAATGCTCTTCAGCAGGGTATATTCCCTACAGTATATACTAGCTTGAGGTTAGCTGATATTCAATCCACCCCGGGGTGATAGTTCCAACATGGTAGGTAGGAACTATGGATGAATCATGTGTCCAATACATAGAAATGTATGTGACAGTTACATATCTCGACTGAATTCACTATTAAGCTAAGCTTTCAATCCATAGCTTCTATTGACGTATCATTTCAGCTATATAATTGTTAGTGGCTCCAATACTCATGATGTTGCTATAGCAGTCCTCCCAGCACAAGAATTGATGGTACTAAACCTCTGTTCTCCAAGAGGGAGAACATGTGAAACGACTTGCGTCTCGCTATCAGTTTTCAACAATTAGCATTTATTTCTCGTAAAATGTACTCAGCAACCCCATCATCGATGAAGGTAGGACAGAGGTGAAAAGCTATAATTGCAGTTTTAAAAACCGGCCCGCTTACCAAGTTGGGTATATTCCCGCTATATCCGCACATCGGGGATGGTAACATCAATTCTCGAATGCAGCGGAGAACTGTTATTCTTATTAGAAAGATGATAATACTCTACTAGATTTCTCCTGGAAGAAACATTCACAAGATACAGAAGGTTGTCTGCACATCAATGAACAAAAGATATCGGCAATTGCTTACGTGCAGCGGATGTATTTTCCTCAGACATCCTCTTCATTCACAGTTGAACAAGGAGGATTATTAGATGGTTATTAAACTAGCTAAAATAATCAGATATTCAGATCAAGAAGCTTGAACCTATATGGTCCACTAACTATGACAGTCCTAGACTGCACTATACCATCTGAAAAGCTACAATTTTCGAAAATCTGTGGACAGATCAACTCCCCATAGTCAGAACCAACCACCCTTGGAAACCAGATTGGACCCCGGGATTCACATCCCGGGCAGATACGGGAGTCCGATCTCTCTAGCTATGTGTCCAGATGGGAAAAGACATCAGTAGAAGACTAGACGTTTTACATATCTACCTACTCAGTGAGTAGGTAGGTGTGATAACCATTCCCTCGTTGACTTCCCGAGTATCTAATTCTTCGGGGGGTCTTCATCCTTCACTCGGGGTTTCTATCTCCGGCGGGGAATTGCTCATCTCGGCTATACATATGCAGATGACATCTGTCTCTCACACAGTATCGAGATCTGAACGGTAGTTCATAATACTATTTACACATGATAGTATCCGTTTCCAATACCACCGTAGAAGCACTCCTTCCGTGCACACATTACATCCCGAGACAGGGCCGCGTATTCCCCCATTCTACCACAATTACCAACAAACCCGATGAGACGGGATGAAATGAGATGAGATCGATGCTACCCGGCCAGACCAAACCAAACCAAACCAAACCCGGGGCCTCGACTATCCAGCCAGCCAGTCAGCCGTAGTAAGTGGGCGAAAGCTCAAGCTCCCAGCTGATGTTAGTTAGTTAGTCTAGCCCGATAATCTCACATCGGTGACAAGACACGACAGCTCAGCTGGTGCCTAGGTAGTAAGCTCCCTCCTGTTTTCCCGACGGAGCTAGAAAACGGGCTCGCCCATGATAACCTCGGGAGATCACTCTGGAGGACTTCGGGCTGGGGGAAAGGAATGGATCTCTGACAGCTGGGGGTGTGGGTTGGGAATGTTCTGTCATCCGGGAGTTCCGCTTTCGATGGATCAGTATTTATGTTTATGTTTATGTTATGTGTATGTTGTGTTTCTTTGATTATTCGTCAAAGAAATCCGAATTGAATCATTTCCACGATTTGGGTCGTGGCTTGGGTGACTCGTCTACATGGCTGGATGGCGATACGTATCTTTTGCCGAGTTCACTGCATCGCAGCCGACGAGGCCAGATAATCGCTTGCTTTGAATTGGATGGGTGGCGATGTTTGTTTTTCCCTCCACACCTTTCTATTTTTCGACCTTCCGATTAGGGTTCGTATCGGTTCACGTGCGAAGTTAGGAACCATGATTTGAACCCCGGGGAGAGAGAAGAAGTAAAAAAGGTACTTTGGTTTTTTCTTCTTCTTTACTCCACATGGCTGGCTGGCGTTGGTGAGTTTCCCGATGGGAAAAAGTAAGTTTTGAGTTAAGACGATAAGGTGAAGCAAGCGACGAAAACGGGATCTCCATTATCGTAGCTGCTGCTGCTGCTTACCAACACGATTGGAATGGTGGAAATTATTAGCACTTCGCCGGTACTAAGACTACTTACTATCACTAATAAAGTAATATTGGCAGCTGTAGCAGTGTCTGGCCGTCCGGCGGCTAATTCTCCGCCTCCGCGCGAGATGGATGGGATGGCTAAAGGGTAAAAAGGCAATTGGTAGCAACCCCGGAAAAGACTTATGCCCAGCCCACTCCACCCCGGGGCCGGAGGTGACTCGGGCAATTTTTTTCTTTAGTGTGATTATTTTATTTCTCTACTCCGTACTAGACTAGCCCCAGCCGGGCGTCAAGCCAGCGCGTGGCATCCTGAGACGGGAAGGAAATAAGTGGCGCCGGAGCGAGCGAATGGGAGGGCTGACAGGGCCACCTGTAGGATTGACGCCATTACTACAACGGGAGTTGGCTCGTCCTTGGCGCGGTGGATCGGCTTCTTTCGCGTGGTGGTCATTTTGGCTTTTGGGTCTTGTTTGGCTGGGCACAGAGGCTTAGGGTCGCCGAACTAAGGCACGCTGGAGGGTTTCGAGATGTCATGGGGTCACATGGATGACATCGTTGCTCGGTACAAGTCCGTGGGGGAGAACAGGACTTTGTTGCTATCCCTCCACCCTGGGTGAATCCCGTAGTTACTACGACCCTGGACCTGAGGTGAAGTAGCATTGTTGTTCCTCGGGTCGGCGGCCCGTTTGGTGAATATATACTACCCAACATCCCGATGGTCCATGTGACAATTGTCACGGACTCCCCAATGTGACAGGATCGACACTCGGGGTTGCAACAACACTGCAGGAGATGCAGACGCTGACAGGCTCAGCTCATCCTTACCCCATGGGAAACCCCGACGAGGCGCATGCGAAAGTTGGAGATGACAGCGGGTGAAGTTACTCGATTCAGTAAAGCAGGGATGAGGGTAGCTCTCACGGTATGATCAAGATAATGATGATGATCATCATCATCATATCATCACTATTAGAGATGAACAAGACAGTGATGATTTTCGTGCCGTGAGAGTGTCGGAGAATGCTCCGGTGATGTCCGACTCACCCGCTGCACCGCCAAGACGTGTTTAGTCATGGGTATTTTGGCTGACTTGCTAGAACGAGAAGAGAAAAGAGAAAATGGAAAGGAAGATGGTGTGAACTCTGGCCAGAAAAGCAAGAGTCCGGAGGGTAATTGCGGGGTCGGTTCGCTTGTTCTGCCTCGGGTGGCGGTGGAGACCAATCAGCATCGCCGGTTGGCCCGACTCAGCGGCCACGGGACAACCGGTTAAATGCAACGCGGGGACTTGCCGGCGGTCACCGATCGGTCGGCTTACTTGGTTCTGTGGGTGTTTGGTTGGAACTACGAACGGGGACTGAAGTAGGGTAAGGTGAGGTGAGGTGACGGGGAACGGGGGTTAACCCAGTACGCAAGATACCAATTAGGATAACCCGTAGGCGAAGAGAAGACCATTGAAAATCATCAGAGAAGTAATCGACCCATCAATCGGAGAGGTCTGTTCAGACACTGCATGATTCATACTGTAGGTAAGTACTCTCTGTACAGTCGGAGAGAGAGCACGGTCGGTCAGCAGCCAGTTGCCGTGTCAATCGGGAATCGTATCCCTGCCCCAGCCAATCTTGCCAAAACGGGACGCAGACACTTTTGCTGGAGCAAAGTCCTGCAAGACCAAGGTCCATGGCCTAGCCCAGGCGGATGATCGTGATCTCATCTCGCTTCTCCCCCGCGGGGAGATCCGATGCAGGGGGAAAAGAAAAAGTGAGGGAGGGATGACGCTCTCACGAAAACCGGCAGGGCCAGCAGCTCTTTTCTCTTCCCCCTCCGTTGTACCCTGGCCCTCGCTTCTTTCAGATGCGTCGATACCCGAGGTTCGTCAACCCACGATCGGGCTAGAATCATTTGCCGTCCGTGTCTTTCCCCTCATTTTCGACCCTTCCGTTTGGCCTCACTGGGGGTGGTGTTGTAATGGTTTAATTGGGAGGTGGTCGGTGTCTTGGCCTTTCATTAGTCTGCAAAAGGAATGGACAAGGTCTGTGGGCTAGGAGGTTAGACTTTTGAAAATTCCGGGGTACGGTGGTCTGCTTTTGTAGTAGTAGTAGTCGTAGTAGTTAATTAAGTAAAGGAAAAGGGAAAAAGAGTTCAGGAGGTGTGGGTGGGATGACTTGGTGTGTTCTTGTTTACCACAGAAGGAAGAATGGGCAGCAGGAGTAAGCAAGTACTAGTGAGATGAGCCCTATTCTTCTCTCTCCCTCCCTTTCATTCTCCTCCCGCAATCTGGTTGGATTTCTCGGATTCGGGGGTATTGTCGTTTTGGGGCCTCGCGTCATGCAATCCCCGGATTTTGTAACGGTTTACGGGGCGAACTCCATTCCCATGCCATGCGAGGTATAAGGGATCTGACCTATTAATATAAATCCGGGGAGGGTACTACACTTGCTGGAAGGTTACTTATGTTCGACCGACCCTTTTTATTAATTATTTTTTATTATTATTCTGACAATACTAGGGAGAGTACTAGTCTGGTTAACCCATGACACACAGCTACTGACTGACTACTCACCGGGCGAACTCAAGGGCCGTCATGTTAGGTAATGGAATGGGCAGATGGCGGTCAAGTGACGTTCCACAACACGGCTGCTGGTAACCGGCATCTCGGTCGGTCGGTACAGGTACGAAAAGGTAAACCCGGAGCCATCGTATGTAGTCATGTTTTAGGGATAAATGCCCAGCTCTTTATTGATAAAGTTCTCTCCACGTAGATAATACCATCATCGTCATCACCATCATGGGTTT